AGTGCAAGGAAGAAAGTGGGGGTGAAGCTGGAGAAATTCACACAAGGCATTTAATGAAGTATGTCCAACAGGTTCTCTCACCTTGGGAATTCCCCAGGGTTGAAGCAAACACTCAGCTGTGGGGAGTTATGTCCACCTCTCTGGTGTCATTTCTTTCTTTCTGTCCAGCAAGAAAGGCCTAGGCCTGCTTTGGAGAGGAGCCAGTGGCCCCCAAAGTCCCTTCGAACTGCATAGCTTCACCTTGGCTCCTCAGTGGTATTCTCTGAGCTAAACAGAGCAGCCAGGGGTGCACCCAGCTTCAGCTGACGGGTATTTTCCTTGGAGCGTCATCTTGCCAGCTGCCTTGAAATAACTGAAGAAAAATCACTTTTCCTGGGTTTTATTGTATGTCCATATCACCAGACTTATTTCAAAGACTTTTTTTTTAAAAAAAGGAGGGGGACTTTTTTTTTCCAGACAAAATGTATTAAAAATCCCAATATACTAAAAAGATAAGATTGCAGCAGCTTTGTTGAAGCAAATCGGAAGGCCGAGAGCTCCTTCTACCCTCTCATCTCCCCCGGCTACCCCTAGAAGCTTCCCTCCCTTTCTTCCCTGCTTTCACAAGGGTCCTTGGGACACTTACCGAGAACCCCAGGACTCTGAGGAGCGCAGCCTGGAAACCATGAGCAAAGGTGACTTCCTAGGACAAAGGCTCTGCTGTTCCCTTGGTCCCTAGGGGATGCTTCATGAAGGGTGCCTGTTACTAAGGCCATGTTTTGGTTTATCTGGCTTCTCAGACCTCGTGGTAGGTCTGTTCTTTATCCACAGACCTCGCTCCCACAATCCCCATGGGAAGTAACCTTTTTTTCTTGTCCTTATCTGCTCTTCTCTCCCTCCACACTGTGGTTCCCTCCTTCCCTACAGAAATTGCACCATTTCAGCTTCCTTTCTACTCAAGCTTCTTTCTCATCCCCCCAGCTGTCCTTTGTCATTCAGCCAGGCCAGCCTTCTGGGTTTCACTATGGTATCTTGCCCTTGGAACTCATGCGCTCAGACCCTACCCTGGAAAGCTTATGTGGTTGGTGTGTTTGTCCCGCAAGGTTCAGGGTGATTAAGGTAGCACTGGGGATAAGGGAGGTGAACGCAGTATGGTATGGGTGGGTGGGGGAGATTGCCCAGGCGAGCCTGGAGACTGGGGGCGCATCAACTCCATTCTGCAGGCAGGGAAGAGTTTGAAGCCAGCCCAGCCTCTTGCTTTAGTGAAAAAAAAAAAAATTCTGCTCTTTCAAAGTGCTGACTTTCCAAACCAGAAGCCCCAAGGATCATGTATGAAATTGAGAGGTAAATGGGCCGTGTAGTCAAGTGTAACAATTTGTCTTTCTCATCTTTTCTTGTATGAAACTCAAACTGAAATTCTATTCCTCCTCCCTGAAGTTTATCATTTCTGGATTTGTTTTTTTCTCTCTTTACATATAATAACACCATATATTGAAATAACAGATTTAAGGGCATGAATCTTACTCCACAAATTCAGGTGTGTGAGACATTCATGCTGCTTTATTCTCTTTAATTAAAATAAATCTAACTTCACCACTATTCCTGTCCCCAAAACACTGGCTGGCAGGAAATTCAGTCTTTGTCATTGCTGCTGTTCTCTCTTCTGATAGCCAGGATCTCTGAATCTTAAGCACCTATTGCAGTCTTTGCTTCTGTCCCTTGGGGAACATTTCTACCACTAAATCTAGGAAGCCTGCCATGCTAGGACCCACTACATCTCTTCTTAATGCTCCAGGCTTGGCCCCCATTATCACCCCTCTATTCTTATGAGCGCCTGCTGGCTAAATCATAAAAATAGCAGCCATTTGTTAAAAGTTTACAACTGCCAGATAATATGCTCTCCACCACCTGCGTGATCTTGTCTACTCGTCACAATAGCTCCAAAGTTGGGAAGTGTATCATCTGCTTCGTTGTATAGGCAAGGAAATGGAGGCCTGGAGAGAAGTCTCTTGCTTGAGGTCATGCTGAATAGGAACTTACAGAGCCCTTGTTCCTGGGGTCCTGTCTGTGTCCACCCACTGCCTTTCTTCTGCCCTTTTATTTATGGCCCCTTTGGCCTCTTCTTCTTAATGTCCATCAGTAACTGTACATTTCTTTTGCTGTAGGACAACCCAGGATGCCTCCCCAGGACCTGAAGCATTTTGCTATGGTGCCTTCTCTACTTCACTCTCCTCTTTTCCCCTCTGCTTCTCAACCTACTGTACATTTATTTTGCTGTAGGACAACCCAGGTTGCCTCCCCAGGACCTGAAGCATTTTGCTATGGTGCCTTCTCTACTTCACTCTCCTCTTTTCCCCTCTGCTTCTCAACCTACTCTTTAACTGAGTTCCTTCCCAGACCCTCTTCCCATTCACACTCAGCCATCTGACTATAACCATGCCATCTGACTATAATGCCCAGCCCTGCTTATTCCCCAAGACATTTCTCCACCACCATTCAAGGTCCACACTATCTCTTTTGGGAAGCACTTCAAAATCTGCCTGGTAGAACAGACAGCTTGCCTGGCTGGGCAAACTCTTCTGCAAATGAACACCAAAGCCCTAAGTTGTAGAGTTTGGAGAAATGTGTTAAATTAAGGATTCTAACCTTCTTGTTTTACAAAAAAAGAAACTAGCAGAGGAGGGAAGGGATATGCCTAAAGTCAGCAAGGCAGGAAGGTCCAACCAGGATGGAACACACATCTATACTCACACTACATCTGACTCATATTCCATCTCTTCGTGCTGGTGGGGAAAGCAGCCCATCTCAGCTTCCTCTTGGGATATTAACCAAGGACATGAGGACCAGAAGTGGCCTTGGAACTTGTGACTTCCCTTCCCCTGGGAACTAGATGACCAGCTAGGCAGCCCGTACCAGTTCTCTTAGTTCAGCTGAGAACAACAACAACAGCAAAAAAAGAAATTTTAACAAATTTGTAAAAGTTCTAAGATTGGAATTGGTACACAATATCCAACCTAATAACATTTCAACTAATCACAGAGACAAAATCATGACAATTTCTAGAGAAAGCTGCTACAGGATTGACACACATATAATTTATTTGACAAGCACAGACTTTTTAAAAAGAGAAAACCACTATTAAATGTTATCAAAATCACTTTCGATTTGGAATATGACAGCACATTCATCACTTTTGAGATGCTAGCCACCAGGACACAAACACTGCCAGCTATACCATCTTCCCTGAACCCCAAGCCTACTGCTTCCCCTCCCACCTCTCCAGCCCTGTCCACTGAGCCAAGTACAAGGGCACACCATGTTCCCCGTATGGAAGCTCAGCACCTGATGTAATGATAGTAGTTGACATTTATAGTGCCCCTACAAAATGCTGTACATGTCTTATTTTAATTAATCCTCACAGCAACACTATGAGGCAAGTACTATTATCATTTTATAAATAAAGAAACAAGCCCCAGAAAGGATACACAATCTGCCAAGGTCACTACTGTGCAGCGGGGTCCATCAGACTCCAGGGTCTTTGGTCTCACTTCTCATGGTTGGATGAGGAGGGATTAAATGAGCGATGCATATAAAAAGACTGGCACATGCTGGTGCTTAACACCTGTTACTGCCCTTTCTGCTTTTGAACAAATATATCTCCCACTCTTTCCCACCACATTGTCTGTATTTTCTCTATTAGAGAGATATCCCTTTGAGTTTTTAAGGAGGGGGCTTTAATGATGCCAAGGATGTATGCTTTGAAAATCATTGCCAACTTTTCAAACATTTTGAAACAATTGCCAGAATTTAACTCCTCTCTTTTGTCCATTGTCTGGCTTCCTCTGGTCTCTATGAACACAAACATGGGCTATTTTATGAGTATTTGCCTTGGATTCAGGGACCATGAATACAAGTGTTTATAAAAATAGGGTTCCATATACAGGGGGAGATGGAGAGGACCTTGGTTAGTCATCCCTTGTAGGAACCCAGAATCCCTGAGTCTTGCCAGGAAAAGCCTTGGAATAAAGAAGAGGGTTGTGCCAGGTTGAGCCATCATTAAAGTCCATCCAAGCACAGTTTCCCTGGACCCACATGCATCAAACACCTAATGCTAAAGCATGAGCTGTGGAATGAGCTGCCTCTGACACTCATTACTGTAGCATTACCTTAAGTTAATGACTTCACCTCTCCAAGTCTCAGCTTCCTTATCCCTAAAAGTGGGATCACAGTGACACCTACATAACAGGGTTGTTGTGAAAATGATACAGAATGATTCATTTAAGCACTTAGAGCAGTGCTTGGCATACTAGGCTCAGACATTCAGCTGTGGTTATTACCAGCAGTAGCATAAACGTTTGTAGTTGTAATAGTGGTTGTAGTAAAGACATATTCTCAGCAGGTGCTGTCCCAAGCACAAAAACAAGAATGGGACAATTCTAATTGATCTACAACTATACTTTCCATTTGTATTGATCTAAATAGCACACATTTTATTCATGATTTTACCCCAACTTATTCCAAATACAATACCTTTTGCTGTTTGAATCTAACATTAGAACTAGAAAATGGAAAATCATGTTGGAGAAAAAGAGAGGAGACATTAAAAACAACTAGAGTTGAACCTCACCTTCAGTTCTGACCTTCCTAGTAACCAGTACAAAAGGGAAGTCAGATGGACTATGACACGCTCGTTATCTGATGTTTTGCACACATTAGTTTTGTGCAAATACAGATTAGCAAAGCTATTTCTCTTAGCATTTACTATAGCAATTGCTACTAACAAAAAAAACAATTTTATCCGTTATCTCCGTAGGAAAACGTGTCTATTTTATCCACTGATCTGTAAATTCTGTGACAGGAGGAGCTATCTTATATTCATATTTTATTTCCTAAGCATACTCCTTATCATCAGTAGGTACTTAAAAATTTTTTGAATGATGTCTTAGTCCACTTTGTGCTGCTATAACAGAATACCACAGACATGGTAATTTATAATAAACAGAAATTTATTTCTCACAGTTCTGGAGGGTGGGAAGTCCAGGATCAAGGTGCCAGCACCTAGGAAGGGACTTCTTGCAATGTCATCTCATAGTGAACTACAGAAAGTAGGACAAGAGAGAGGGGAAGTAAAAGAGGGTCAAAGCCCCCTTCCCTTAATAACAAATCCATTCATGTGATAACAGCATTAATCCATTCATGTAGGCACAATCCTCATAGGTTAACCATCTATTAAAGGTTTCACCAATGGCAATTAAATTTCTAACATACACTTTTTGGGGAACACATTTGAACCAAAGAAAATGATGAGATAAATTGTATATAAATTCCTTAGCCCTCAGACTGGTAATTTGATAGTGGCTACTGAAAGTCACATGCAAAATTTGAGTTCAGGTCCCTCGACCCTCAAAATTTTGTTCTTTTCTAATACGCTATGGTTCTAGTTATCTATTTCTATATTACAAATTATGCCAAGACTTAGTTGCTTGCAAACAATCATTATCTTTCATAATTCTATGGGTTGCATGGGCTCAACTGGGTTGTTCTTCAGGGTCTTTGACAAAGTTAAAGTCATACAGAGCTAGAGTCATCTGAAGACTACTTTGATCACGTGCCTGGAGTCTAGGCAGGAATGGTTGGAATACCTGTGGCTGGTCATGCATTACTTCCTCACAGCAGGGTGATGTCAGGATAGGCAGAGTGCTTACATGTTGCCCAGCTTATTCTAAAGTGAGCATTCAAAGAGACCATGGCAAAAGCTGCAAGGCTTCTTCTAATCTAGTTTAAGAAGTTACACAGAAACATTTCTACCATATTATATTAGTCAAAGCAATTACAGGCCCACATGGATTCAAGAGATAGAGGGATAGACTCCATCTCTTAATGGAAGAGGACTTACCTAACTCTTTCTGGGATGCAAGCTACAGTAATCTACAGAGTAAACTATTTTCAAGACAAAGCTACAGTAATCAGGATAGTCTGGTATTGATGTTAGAATACACAAGAAAATCAATAGAATGAAATAAAGAGTCCAGAAATAGATCTATACATTTACACTTAATTGATCTTTGACAAAGGTCAGACAAGTATAGTCTTTTCAACACATGATGCTGGAACTGACTATATAGAAAGATGTATAAAGTTTGCCCATAATGCAAAATTTAAGTTGTGTAATGCAATTAAATTAATTTGAGAGGAGCCACAGATTTAAATATAAAAGCTAAAATTATAAAGCTTCTAAAAGTAAACATAAAAGACAATATTTTTGCAACTTTATTGTAGATTTATTAGACAAGACACAAGAGAAAGACCCTAAAAGAAAAAAATTGATAAATTGGACTTCCTCATTTTGCTAATCAAAGATACCATTAAGAAAACATAAAGGCAAACTACAGATGGGAGAAACCATTTGCATTGCATATATATGCATGACAAAGAATTTGTAAATACAATCTATAAAGAACTTTCATAACTCAAAAATTAAATGACATGCCAAACAACCTAATTTAAAATTCAAACAAAAGGCTTGAATAGTAGACCGGCTTAGCTCTCCAACCTATGTCTTTCTCCTGTGATGGATGCTTCCTGCCCTTGAACATCAGACTCCAAGTTCTTCAGCTTTGGGACTCAAACTGGCTTCCTTGCTCCTCAGCTTGCAGATGCCCAATTGTGGAACCTTGTGATTGTCAAGGAGGCCCTCACCAGTGCAAAGCAGAAGGCATGCTCTTGGACTTCCCAGCCCCCAGACTGGCACAACTCTCAGGAGAACACCTAGTGATGTCAGTTCTCCAGAGAAGAATTTCTTCCACTGGAATCACAGATCATGGCAAACAGGAGGCAGGACTGGATTGCAGCTCCTACTTGGATGGGCGGAGCAGTGTGTGGAGGCTCACATGGTGAATTTTAGCTCCAGAACAACTGCAGGAACAAATCAGGAATCCTGAGAGGACCCACAGACCCTCTGAATGCAGCAGACTGCTCCTGCAGGACGCAGGAGACACCACAAATGCTGTGCTGGTATCCATGGTTGAGAGACGCATAGATGGTTCACATCACAGGACTCTGTGCAGACAATCCCCAGTATCAGCCTAGAGCCTGATAGACTTGTTGGGTGGCTATACCCAGAAGAGAAATAACTATCACTACAGTTCGGCTCTCAGGAAGCCCCATCCATAGGAAAAGAGAGAGTGTGCTACATCAAGGGAACATCCTGTGGGACAAAAGGATCTGAACAATAGCCTTCAGCCCTAGACCTTCCCTCCAACAGAGCCTACCCAAATGAGAAGGAACCAGAAAACCAACTCTAGTAATATGACAAAACAAGGCTCTTTAACATCCCCCCAAAAATTGCACTAGCTCACCAGCAATGAATCCAATCCAAGAATAAATCCCTGATTTACCTGAAAAAGAATTCAGGAGGTTAGTTATTAAGCTAATCAGGAAGGCACCAGAAAAAGGTGAAGTCCAATGCAAGGAAATCCAAAAAACCAATATAAGAAGTGAAGGGAGAAATATTCAAGGAAATAGATAGCAGAAAGAAAAAAATAGAAACTTCAGGAAACTTTGGACATACTTACAGAAATGCAAAATGCTCTGGAAAGTCTCAGAAATAGAATTGAACAAGTAGAAGAAAGAAATTCAGAGCTCAAAGACAAGGTCTTCCAATCAACTCAATCCAATAAAGACAAAGAAAAAAGAATAAGAAAATATAAATAAAGCCTCCAAAAAGTCTGGGATTATGTCAAACAACCAAACCTAAGAATAATTAGTATTCCTGAGGAAGAAGATAAATCTAAAAGTTTGGAAAACATATTTTGGGGAATAATCTAGGAAAACTTCCCCAGTTTTGTTAGAGACCTAGACATTCAAATACAAGAAACACAAAGAACACCTGGGAAATTCATCACAAAAAGATCATCGTCTAGGCACATTGTCATCAGGTTATCTAAAGTTAAGACAAAGGAAAGAATCTTAAGAGCTGTGATACAAAAGCATTAGGTATCACTGGAAAACCTATAGGTATAAAGGAAAACCTATTGGATTAACAGCAGATTTCTCAGCAGAAACCCTACAAGCTAGAAAGGATTAGGGCCCTATCTTCAGCCTCCTCAAACAAAACAATTATCAGCCGATAATTTTGTATCCAGCGAAACTAAGCATCATATATGAAGGAAAAATACAGTCTTTTTCAGATAAATGCTGGGAGAATTCACCACTACCAAGCCACCACTATAAGAACTGCTAAAAGGAGCTCTAAATCTTGAAACAAATCCTGGAAGCACATCAAAACAGAACCTCTTTAAAGCATGAAGCTCACAGGACTTATGAAACAAAATTATAATTTTAAAAGCAAAAACAAAAATCCAGTGTACACAGGCAGCAAATAGTATGATGAATGGAATGGTACCTCACATCTCATTACTAACATTGAATGTAAATGGCCTAAATGTTCCACTTAAAAGATACAGAACTGCAGAATGGGTAAGAATTCACCAACCATCTGCCGCCTTCAAGAGACTCATCTAACACATAAGGCCTCACATAAACTTAAAGTAAAGGGGTGGAAAAATGCATTTTCTACAAATGGACATCAAAAGTGAGCAGGGGTAGCTATTCCTATGTCAGACAAAACAAACTTTAAAGCAACAGCAATTTAAAAAGACTAAGAAGGACATTATATAATGGTAAGAGACCTTGTCCAATATCACAATCCTAAACACATATCCACTGAACAATGGAGCCTCCAAAATTATAAAACAATTACTAATAGACCTGAGAAATGAGATAGACAGAAATAATAGTGGGGGACTTCAATACTCCATGGAGAGCATTAAACAAGTCATCAAGACAGAAAGTCAGCGAAGAAACAAGAAATTTAAACTATACCTTGAAACAGATGGACTTAACAGGTATATACAGAAGATTTCATCCAACCATCACAGAATACACATTCTATTCAACAGCACATGGAACTTTCTCAAAGATAGACTATATGATAGGTCACAAAATGAGCCTCAATAAATTTAAGAAATTGAAAGAATATCAAACACTCTCACAGACCACAGTGGAATAAAGCTGGAAATCAGCCCCAAAAGGAACCTTCAAAACCATGCAAATACATGGAAATTAAATAACATGCTCCTGAATGAGCTTTGGGTGAAAAATGAAATCAAGATGGAAATTTAAAAATTCTTCAAACTGAATGACAATAGTGACATAATCTATCAAAATCTCTGGAATACAGCAAAGGCAGTGCTAAGAGCAAAGCCCATAGCCCTAAATGGTTACATCAAAAAGACTGAAAAAGTACAAACTGATATTCTAAGATCATACCTCAAGGAACTAGAGAAATAAGAACAAACCAAACCCGAACTCAGCAGAAGAAAGGATGTAATGAAGATCAGAGCATAACTAAATGATATTAAAACAAAGAAAAATACAAAAGATAAATGAAACAAAAAGCTGATTCTTTGAAAAGATAAATAAAATTGATAGGCCATTAGCAAGATTAACCAAGAAAAAATGAGAGAAAATCCAAATAATCTCAATAAGAAATGAAATGGGAGATATTACAACTGACACCACAGAAATACAAAAGATCATCCAAGGCTACTATGAAAACCTTTACACACATAAACTAGAAAACCTAAAAGAAATGGATAAATTCCTGCAAAAATACAACCCTCTTGTTTAAATCAGGAAGAATTAAGATACTCCGAACAGACCCATAACAAGCAGTGAGATTGAGATGGTAATTTAAAAATTACCAACAACAAAAAAAGCCCAGGACCAGATGGATTCACAGCAGAATTCTACAAGGCATTCAAAGAAGACTTGGTACCAATCCTAATTTCACAAGACAGAGAAAGAGGAAACCCCCCTTAATTCCTTCTATGAAGCCAACATCACAAATAACAAAACCGGGAAATGACATACCAAAAAAGAAAACTACACACCAATATTCCTGGTGAACATAGAATGCTAAAATCCTTAACAAAACACTAGCTAATGAAATTCAAAAACATGTCAAAAAGATAATCCACTATGATCAAGTGGGTTTCATACCAGGGAGGCAGGAATGATTTAATATACACAAGTC